CTCTCTCTCTCTCTCTCTCTCTCTCTCTCTCTCTCTCTCTCTCTCTCTCTCTGTATTCTAGGGTTGGAGATGTAATAACCACATGGGGCAGCTTCAGATGTTCCCCAGTGCTCAGAAGAGAACCGAGCGAACAGCTGGGGGTGGGGCTTACATTGAGTGACAGAATGCACTAAGGAGAAGGTCAGAGGTAAACTCAGAAAGAGCCAGGGGAGCCAGCCCAGTGGCACAGGTCTCTGATCCTAGACTTCAGGATCTGAGGCCAGCATGGGGCTACAGAATGAGAGCCTGTCTCAAAAATAGTAAGCACAAACAATCCTTCCCACTGCAAAAAGAATAGAAATAGTTGGGTGAGGTCATCTAGGCTAAGTGACAGAAATGACAAGGGTGCTGAGATGGTCCGGAGGGACAAAAAGGTGACTGGACAGGGTATTTGAGCAGATGGTGAAGAAGGGAAGGAACCTGCAGGGCTTGGATGCTTAGAAGAAGACTGAGTTCCACTCTGACCTCAGTGGGCATCTCATGAGGCTAGACCTTTAGGAGACAAATGGCTTTAGGTGAGGGCCTTATAAAGGTGGCCATTGCTAGGTGCTTGGTCACAGAGACAAGAGCAGCAGCCAAGAGCATGGAGAACAGGGGTTAGCTCAGGACATGCCTGCCCTACTAGAAGGAAGTGATTCCTGAGGTCCCTTGGATCCTGTGCCACTCCTGTGTTCTAACAGGCATGAGATGTGTCTGCTAAGAAACGGCGCCTGCCGGATCTTCACCCTTGTACAGTGTTGCTCCTGGGAGTCATTTTGTGCCTTACTCTGTTTCTGCCCCTGCTTACTCTTCCTCTTCTCCACTTCACGGCCACCTAGTTTTGGGACATCACAGACCAAGGCTTGAGCACACCCTGAAGTTCTGTGAATTAGCGCTCTCTCCCGAGTCCTCCATGTGTGATACCACCTGCATCCTCAGACACCAGACGAAGGAAATGGAGCTAATGGAGTCATCCAGCTCAGGGTGAGGATGTAGCTCAGTAGGTAGTGCCCGCGCCTCCCCAACAGTGCATAACTGGGCGTGGTGGTACCCCAGAGGTGGACGCTCAAGGTCCTTCTAAGCTACCTGCCACATTCGAGACCAACGTGTGATAGATGAGACCGTGTCTAAATAGTAAAATCAAAGCAAGTCACTATAAATGGTTCAGCAAGTCCCAAGGCGGGAGGAGCCTAGGCATGAACTGACTCGGCTCTGGGTACCGTTTGCCATAGGCAGACTTTCCCCGCCCCTCGCCTCCCTCACCTCATCATCTTAGAAGTGGGACAGTCTTCTTTAATTAGAAAGTGCTCGGGGTTCCGGGCTCCTGTTCTCTTTTAACATATGACAGCGCCGACTCTGCGCCCCCCTCCCCCACTCTTGATGTACCATGGCCAGAATGGTACCCATGCCAATGCTGGGGTTATGGCAGGCATATTCATGAACATTGCCCCTGCCTTGGGGACATCTGATTCCTTACTGAGACCTCCCAGGTTTTGCAAGCATCTGTTCATGCCTGACACATCGATGTGCCGTGACATCTTGGAAGGGGTGTTTGTACTAGGGTTGGGGCTGGGGGTCTTAGCCAGCCCATGCTATTCGATGTGATTGGACATCATAGGTGCCTTGGGTTCTCATCTTCTCCCCAGTGACTATGTGGAGACCACAGCTAGTATGCATGCATTGTATTTCTCTCCCTGTCTGTTCAGTGGAGTGGTCAGCACAGGGCCAGGGCCCGCCTGGGTTTGCCTGTGTGAGAAAATCTGGACTCAGATTGTCGAAGCTTCCAGTGACGGCTTCTGTCGCAGCCTTTTTAGGGTTGGCCGCGGGTCTCTGTTGGGTATTTGACTCTTACTTAAACTGGCGCTGTAGCTATCAACTCAGTAATTCTCCAAATTACCACGTAACCAGAGAGTCTGTGTGTGTACTGGGGAGAGCGCTATTCTGGCTGTCAGGGGACCAGACTGGTCACGCCCAGGACTGGTGTGACCTTGAGCCGCTCAGTTCACTTGTGGATCCTGGATTCGCTGTGGAGTGTTGATGGAGGATGGCTGGAACCTCTGATCTAGGACAAGGCTGGTCATCTGTTGGTAGAAATGAAGGCGCTGTGCAGGGTCCCTGGCCTTGCCAGTCCAGGCCTTGCCATGTTCCCATGCCTCCGCTTCTTTCCGGTGTGTGGGTTTGGTATATATGAGTGTGTGTGTGTGTGTGTGCGCACGTGTATGTGTGCTGTGTGCTGCTACAGACACCAGGGCAAGCCAGGGAGGATGACAACGGGGCAGAAGGTTGTTTTCACGGACGCAGCCAGAGGTCAGCTTTTCCTTTCTTCATAGCCACTTCCTCCCCTCCTCCCAACTTGTTCTTTGACAAACATCCAAAGACAGTCTTAAAACTCACTATGTAACTCAGCATGAACTTGAACCCCTGGCTTTCCTGCCTCTCCTCGTGAGTCCTGGTCACATAAGGCTGGACATGGAACCCAAGGCTTTCTGCATGCTAGGCAAGAATTCTAGCACCTGGACTACATCTCAGCCCTATCTCCTCTCTCGTCTCCTGAGACCTAGGGTGAGCCACGCCTCTCCCCAGCGCCATGGCCTTCAGACATGGTTCTCACAGTGAGGTCCCCAGCCAGCGACATCAGCATTCCCTGGAATGTACTAGAAATGCAGATTACTAATTTATTTGAGACAGGGTGTCACGTAGGTCAGGCTGCTCTTGCACCCACTGTGTGGCAGAGGCCTCTGCCCTTGAAACCCGATCCTCCTGTTTCCACCCCTCCAGTCCAAGAGATATACTACAGCCACGCCCCACCATGCTCAGCTTGGAAATGCATATTTTTTTTTTTTTTTTGAGACAGGGTTTCTCTGTGTAACAGCCCTAGCTCTCCTGGAACTCCCTTTGTAGACCAGGCTGGCCTCGAACTCACAGAGATCCTCCTGCCTCTGCCTCCCAAGTGCTGGGATTAAAGGCGTGTGCCACCATTGCCTGGCAAAATGCAAATTCTCAAGCTGGGAATGTAGCTCAGTTACCACAGTCTAGCATGGCCACTGCTGAAGGGAACAGATTGGACCACATCCCAGATGAAAGATCGAGAAATTCAGTCAGTACAGTCTATCAGCTTGTGTTCTCACAAGGCTCTAGAGGATTCGGCTGCCCCACCACACACTTGAAAACAAAAGCTTCAGAGGGGGAGAAAGGGAAAGAGAGAGACCTAACTCCTCTGCCTCCAGAATAAAGGTGACATTCTGTTCCCAAAGACTGGCCACCTCCGTCTGCATTCAGAACCACCCCTTTGAGGAAGAAATGCTTCTGTCCATTTTATGGGTGAGTAAACTGAGGCTCATGATCTTACCCAAGGTCACAAAGTCGGAAGACCATGGTCTTGTCATTCTGAGGCAAGGAATCCCTTCTAGCACACCTTAGGTTCTCAGGATTCTTAGACCAAAGACACCAACACACGTCCCTTGGCCAGGAA